CCTCTTAAGCTATTCTATATATAGCTATAACTTTATATACGAAGTATAGTAGTTACCGCCGCTAGGTAATAGTAAGGGTTATAGGTATCGAACCTAGGATTTCCCCGCTAGGTAGCTAGTATAGTAAGGCCTACTTAGGATAGCCTAGCACTAAGTAGTCGTCTTACTACTAGACTACCCGACCCCCTATAGTAGCTATCGGCTAGTATAGGCACCGCTATTAGTAGGTTACTTAAAGGATTAAGGGAGGGCTACCTAAAGGATTATTATAAGGCTATATATCGGGGACCTATAAAGACCTTACGTATAGGGCTAGCTTAGTGCCTATATAAGTTACCTAAGGGTCCTTCTAACTACGGTATAAATAGGGCCCTATAGCCGCTTCTTTCTAGCTAGATTATATATCTTTATCCTTTCTTATACTGCCCCTACCTTATAAGTACTAGAATAACGGTCTATCGATAATAGTATATTAGTTTATCGGAAAATTAAATGTACTACTTAACTTAGTAATATCTTAAAGGCTGCCTAAAATTATATAGACTTATTACCGCCGGCTAATATAAAGGCTTCTATTAGCTTATCTCTTATATAGCGTTTAATAGGTCTTAGTAATACTAAACTAATTATACCCTTAATTTAGAGTTAATAATATTCTAAGCTTTAGTTCTTATTAGTTAGAATCGTTTATAATAGGAAGAGCCTTTAAATCGCGAAGTAGACGCTAGATAAGCTCTATAATCGATAATATTATAAGGCGTGCGTAAACTCGTTATATAAAGGCTCTGCCCGGTATTAAAATTCTCCTTAAACGGAGTACTTATTTCTTTAAGAGCCGAATCCCTCCGCCTTACGGCAGCATACTAACTTAAACGGGAATATATACTTTAATATAATAAGCTAGTTAGGATAATAAAGGGGGCACGTTAGCGACTATTAGCCCCCCCTCGGAGTCCGGAGTAGAGTCGTATATTAACGACCTTAATATACTAGCTTACTATACCGTACCTACTATTATTTATCGAGCTATAGAGCTTTTGCTTTTAATAATTTAGATGCTATAATCTTAGATATAGCTTAGCGGGCAGGGAGCCGGAAAAGCCTATATCGTAAAAGCGTTATTTTTTTCTATGACTTATATATACCTTAAGAGCACCGTTATATATCGGACGGTGTTAACGCCGCCGAAAAGCATTATTTCTAAGGGCTAGCATAGGCGATAACCCTTGCCGTAGCTTAACGTCTTCGCTATAGTTAGTATATATATACCTAGAAGTAATATCGCTAAAGTACGCTAAAATAAGGGACGCTCTTTAGTAACGTAAGTTTTAGTCCTTAGCTATTCTCTCGTAGGCTACTCCGAGACCCCGCGGCTCCTACCTTTCCGACCCCCTCTTCTTCTCTCTAACTATACTTTAGAATACTTTAACGCTATCTCGGCCATAGCGCTATAATTAAGCTGCTGCCTTAAGATGCCCCGTTCGCTATAATAACCTTTATATTTTATTTACGTAGCTAAGTAAGATAAAACGGCCCTATATCTAAACATGCTAGAAACGGACGATAAGCTAATTTACCTAGGTATACGAAGCTGCCTATATAGGTTTATAGCGCCTATATCTATTACCGCTGCGACTATAGGCAAAAACATTAGCTTAAAAGGTAGCTACGATTCGCTTCCTCGCCGAACTAATAATTCTCTCTACCGAGCAAATATAGCTTTAGGAACCCTAGGTAACGTAGGCTTATCCTACTACCGTCGATAACCGAAACCGAAACCGAAATCACCCTATAGCTTAATAATTCCTTATAAGCTTCGAAATAAATATATCGAATTAGGCAGGGCAAAGACCTCGGAGGAAAAAAGGCGGCGGCCTATAGTTTTCGGGTTCTTTAATAGAGCAGGCCGGTTCTATCGCCGGCTAGGCCGCGGAGTACCTAACTCTCTAATAGACTTACCTTTATCTATGCCTATTGCCTATAATAAAATTGTATACCGCCCGTTATTTATAGGATTATCGTATAAGTAAGTGCGGATAGAGGTATTGCAACGTTTAGTTAGAAGATATAGTTCCGATTTAGAACCCGGCGAAATATAACGAATATCGTCTTCCTAACGGCAGACAGTTCTTCGATTAGACGGCGGGTTCTTAGACTCTATAGTATTATTGCCCTTTATAGGCTTAGGGAGTCTTATCTAGCGTTTAATATTATTATAAACCGGCGTAGGTACTAATCTAAGGAGATAAGATATATAACTACTTTTTAAAATACTATCTTTATTTAAAGCTAGCTTTCTCTAGTCTAGATATAGTATACTACTTCTTAATTATACTTAAAGGTTCTAATATAGGCAAGGGCATAGGTATCTAGGCTATCGGCACTACTAACGCTTACCCTTTAGCCGGTATTATTAGCACCTACGTTAGCTTAATCTAGCTAGCGTAAATGCCTTTAAACTAAACTAAGTATAAAGGCTAAAGTACTTTAAAATGCTCCCCTAGAAAAGCACCTTAAACTACTAGTATTCTCTCTACCCTTCTCCCGCTATTTACCCTCGTAACCCTATCTAAGTAGAAGAACTATAGCGTAGGTATAAAGAAAGAAAAGGGGATCCTATAATGCCTAACGAGAGGGCATATATAGAACTAGCCGGCGAGCGACTTAGATAATATTAAGAGGCGTATACCGTATCTTCTTAAGCCTATATTAAAACCTACGAAAGGCCTCCTAGATATAGGGAAGGCTCGATTAAGGTCTTACCCTCGCCGGAGGAGGCCTACTCGCGGAAGCGCTTACTATTATACTAGGTAAAGGAGGTCTAGCGGTACCCGGAATAGATAATATATTCCTCGCACGTTATTACCTTTATACGCTCGTTAGCCCTATAGGGCGCTAGAGGGTTATATAGTTTATCTCGTTCCCTTCTTCCTCGTCCTATCGTCGCGCTAGGGACCTCGACCGAGTAGTAGGATGCCGCCCCCCCCCTAAGGAGGTTAACCTTAGCCTTCTTATAGTTCCTAGCGGCTTTATCGACGGAGCCGCTAAGTATAACGCTATCGAGGGGGTTATCGCCGATAACTAAGTCGGTGTCCGTACCCCTATTATCCGAGTCTTTAACGTTCTTACGCACGTCCTACTATAAGGGCCCCGAGCGATTATCGACGACGCGGTTAAGGGGGAGCGGCAGAGCGGCGCTAAGTTCGAAGCAGATAAAATAACGGTTACGCGAAACGCCGTAAGGGCGAGCAATACGCTATTTACTTAGGTAGCGCCTCTTCGTGCCTTTACTTTAGGGTGCTTCGAATACTGCTCGAAAAAGTAGTAGGTATCGCGAAGACCGTTACGCTACGTAGGCAAAAGTAGAACGCGCTCCGATAAGAGCACTTAACTAACGTATATCTTTCTTCTTAATAGTAGGATAAGCAATATACCTTATTATAGTATCCTATATCTATAGTTACGATATATATTCCTTTTATAGGACGATAGTAGGCAGCTATAGATAAATATTTATAAAACCTATAAACTGCCTACCTAAGTCTAAGTAGAAATAAATTAATATATTATCGCTAGGATAGTATTAAAGTATTCTTAGGTATAGTTAGCGAGAAGAAAATAAGGAAAGGAAGGTAGGAGATAAGGGGTCTCTAAGTCGTTTATAAGAAAATAACTAAGAGCTAAAACTTATACTATTAGATAGCGTCCTCTTTAAGACTTACTTTAGTAACGCTACTTTTAGGTATATATACCTAAACACCTATAATAATACTACCTTAGCCGCGACGGGTAAATAGAGCTTCTAGGTCCTTATTAAGACGTTACCTATAGCTAGCTTTATATTGCTTTAAATACTACTTCGTTTAGGGTTTATATATAGTAGGTCTATATATATTAGCGCGTACTATAGTATCTACGGGAGTATCCTTATAAATATAAATTATAGCTTAGCTATATTTTACGCCTCTATATATATAGAGTTAGTTAGTTCGGTAATACCGGCCTTTAAGTTATAGCTAGGATATAAGGGAGTACTTACGAAATACTACCTATAGTGCTACCCCTCTTCTTAAAATAGTTGCCTTACGTAAGGATATAAACGTTATTATTCTTTAAGGAGCTATACCGGTAGCCGGAACCCTCTCCCGCTTTATACCTTCTTAAGATAGTTACTATACTTAGCAACAGTTAAATATTAACGCCTCTATAAGTCGCCCCGCTATAGCTAAAATACACCTCTACTAGCTGCCCTATAGCTAGTAAGCACTCCTACCTTATAAGATAGATGGCCCGCGATGGAATAAGCCGGCAAAGGAAGGGCCATCAAGAATACGGCACCTCATCCGGCGGATGGACAAGTCGCTCAACACGGCCATGCGAGCCATCCTCCCGGTCTGGAAGACGACGCCGCTCAGCGCCAGGCACCGGGAGGCGGGCATACCGCCAGTTTCGCACCTGCTCCAGGCGTGTCGAACGCGCTTCACAGCCCGTCTCAAGTCCCTCGACGAAGCGCACCCGCTTGCGGTGCGAACGAAGCCGATCCGGGCCCTGTCATCAACAGGGCCATTAAGTTAAAATACCAGCGTCCACGACAACCTTTCCGGACCAGACTGCGTCGCACTGACGAGCTGCTCCCAAGGTGCGCCAGGCCAGACCTTCTCGCACGTAGGTTCGCCAGCGACCAGCGTGGACCCTGCAAACTGCGCCGAAAGAAGAATCGGCGGCAAACTTCGGCGAGTGGCTCCAATCAGTTGCTCCACGGACAGCAATCGTCTACTCGGACGGATCCCTCTCCCGGAGGGAGCCGCGGGGTACGGCTATGCGGTACATCAGGATGGACTCACCGTCCTCAGCGGTAACGGCCGTCTTGGGCTTGCTGAGGTCTTTGATGCCGAGGCGAGAGGCTCTCAGAGGGTCTGCGTGCTGCGTTGAGCCTCCCGGCTGCAGACCAGATTGTCGTATGCCTCGATAACCTCGCGGTCGCGACGTGTCTTCAAGGCATGCCGTCAGATTCCTCCCAGAAGGAGTTCCTGGAATTCCAGGCCTTGGCCGCAGAACATGGTGCCACTGAGATCCGCTGGATCCCCGGCCACACCAACATCCCAGGTAACGAGCAGGCAGACGCCTTAGCAAAGGCAGGAACCTCTCAACCCGAGCCTGCAGACGCTCTCCCGACGCTGGCATATCTGCGCAAGGTCGCTAGGCAGCGACCAAAAGACGCATTCAAAGCCTGGTGGGAAGTTTCTGCACCCCAACAGTACAGGGTCCTCGACCTCGATGCCACGACTGGCTGCCCGCCAGAACTTACCATTCCACGACCTCTGCTCCACCATCTGCTCGCAGCAAGAACCCACCACGGGACTTCGCTGATTACCACGAAAGGTTGAACCACGACGATGCGCGACTGACGTGCTCATGTGGTCGACGAAAAGAACCAAAGCATCTCTTCTATTGCCGGAAGATCGCGCCGCGACATCGGATGAGGTTGGCACCCTCACCGAGCGCGGCGGTCAACCGAGCAATAGGCAGAGACTTCGACCAGTTCGTCAAGGTGGCGAAGGCAAGCTCGTTCTTTGGAACGATCTGCCCTCGCCACTAGGCGGCAGCAACCGCTTTCCCTCCTTCCTTCCCTTTGTTTGCACACACCCATTTTCTCTTACCCGACTCGGCCGGGCGGAGGGTGCTCTCCGGAACCGGCCCTGTGAGGCCAAAACGAAAGACATGGCTGTCGCGCCTGAACGTCCCGCTGACGGGCAGCAGGCTGAGCAAAGAAGCGCCTTTGAGCCGATGAAATGCTGAATGGTGGATTGTTTACGTTCTGTGGAAGGGGCAGAAGACGCGGATTGGTACTCGTTTCGTTTCGCGTATTGTGGGCCTACTCCGCGATAGTAGACTTCCAGCAGCTCAGCACGTCCTGTGCCCCGTCTCGGGGACCTGAGCGACCTAAAGGTCGCTGGACGGAAAATACAATAATAATAATAATAATTATAAGATAGATGCCTTTATAAGATAGCTATATACTTAATAAGGACTAGGATATAATAGGTCTAAAGTATACTATAGTAGGATATCTATCGGAGGGATCGAAGCCCCTCGCGCCTAATAATACTCCTCTATCGCTAGATAACGCCGGCCTACGCCGGCCCCTAGTAGACGGCACCGCCTCCTAAGGTTCTACCGACCGCTAGGGATAACCTAATATACCTACGAGCTTAAATCTAAGCTACGACGATTACGTATATATCTCCCACGTAATATCGACGAATAGAAGATAATGCCTAATAGGTATCTATATAGCGACCGTTAGTACCGATCCTAGACCTATCTAGTCCCGAACCGCGGCGATAAGCTCTTTATACCTACGACCGTATATACTAAGGTATTAGGCTATAGGACCTATATCTAGCGTCTATAAAAATAGGTCTCTATATAGGGTTATCGCGAGCTAGGCATACTCCCTTATATTCCTACTTTCTTAGCGTTAATTATTAAGGAATTCGCTATATATAATACACGGCCGCTAATAAGGGCGTCTAGCACTACGCTTAGCGCGAGCTAAGGGAGGCGATAGCGCCTAACCCCGTAGACGAGGCGCGACTACGTCCTAAGAATAGGAGCCGATAACGACTACGAACGCTTCTAGATCTAGAGAAGCGCTCCTCTAGCAGTCCCCCCGCGACGGTCTTGCTAAACTGCAGTTACGACGATGCGCATAGTAACCCAACGGCTCTCTATTCGGTTCCACGAGCTATAACCGCGCCAACACCGACATCGACTAGCAAGATGCTATAATTAGAGACGTAGCAGACGAAGCCGAGACCAATAAACCGGACGACCTGCCCGAGGCTCGAGGCCCAGCAGTAACGGTTGCTCACGCGGCGGAGACTTATCGCCAGCCAGACAGAAGTCTTCCGCGCATTTAGCACCGCCTTCGACCGGATGGCCGCCTAGTTTACCTTAGGCCACGCGCTTAACTTCGCTAAGGACTTCTCGCGCGGCTTCCTTAGCTACTTAACGGCGCGCCTATACGCGCGGGCAAGAACGCTAATAACTGCCACGGAAGAGACGGGGCGGCTGCCGCAGCGACCTAAGCCGCTATGGCCTAGAAGGGGATGGCGCAGGCCCCTGCCGGCCAGCCCCGACCCACACGTCCAGCCGCCTAAGGGACGACCTACGCGTCTTCGTGCGGCTCACTAACGGATCTCTAGCGTGGGGCCACCAGGGGAGCCCACGTAGCCAAGACGCTTAATCTTAGTATAGAACGCATGCCATAAGTCGCCCGAGTAAAGACCGGATGGGCATTCGTATCTTAGACCGGGAGGCGAGGGACTTGCTAATTAAAAGGCAGGGCGACTAGGCGGCCTGCCTCGGAGCCGAAGCGGTTAAAGGCTTCTAGAAGTAGCACACTTATGCGGTGGCCGACTGCCCTAGGCAGCTCACGAATATCTAGGGGTCTATAGTAGACTATAGCCAAGCTATTAGAGAAGAGATTAAGCTACGGATAGGCGTAGAACTAGTAGACGTTTACGAAGCTAAAAGATACGCCGAGGGCTTAGACCAGCCTACCGTGACGATAATTATATAGTTTAAGGCGGCTATATAGGAGATATAGTGACTCTTCGGCACTAGCCGATTAGCGCGACCGATTACTAAGAACCCCCGACCTACCTAATATAATAATTGCTAGGACTACCACTCCTACTTTATCTGCGACTAAAAATAGGCGTGCCGACGCTATAGCGGAAAAGACTATTATAGTAACGACTATAATCGCCCGGAGAGGTGCGCGAACTACTTCGGGCCCTTCTAGGCAGACCATAAGGAGTGCCCTGCTAGACCTAGGCGCTTACACGGCTAACTCGTGCGGCTATCTAAGATCGAAAAGCACGTAGTAAGGAAGATAGGCTCCCGGCTATATCGGCAAACTAATATAGAACTCGAACGGCTGGCGCCAACCACCTCTCCCTAGCTATCCTAAGGACCGACCCCTTTACCCTACGTAAGAGCCGTCGAGGCCCGCTAGATAAAGCGGCCACCTCCCTCTAGCGTGTAAGCGCCCGACCCCACGGCGCTTCTTCCACTTTAGGACGAGATAGTAGTCGCAATAGACAGCCCTAAGTCTCTTAAAAAGAGACGTCGATAGAGCACGCGCCCGGATCCCTATAAGTAATAGGTCCCCGAGATAAAGAACCCGCGATAGGAGGATAATCCGAGTTCTCTAGGCCAACGTAGCAAAGTAGAGCCTTATTATAGTATGGCCTTACGACTAGCAGAAGTAGAAGATTACGGCATCGTGCTTATTTAGGAACCGAACGTCTAGATAGAAAAGAGAGCGGGATATATAAGATCTAGATATACTAGACCCTCTACGCCTTTATACTAGAACGAGCATAGGATCTAGACTAAGCCCTAAGGGTGATATTATACGCCCGTAACGATGCGAATATCCGGGTAGAGTAAATCTACTCTATACCTACGCGCGATATACTCTAGCTTCGGGTTAACGGCATCCTTATTATTAACTTCTACCGACACGAGGGGAACCCTAAGCCACTTAACTACCTCCTCTATAAGTAGGAGGTCCCTAAAAAGTGCCTTATCGCGGGCGACTTTAACGCCTACCACTGCTTCTAGTAGCCTAGAGTACGGAGCGTAAGATACGGGACGGCCATTGCAGAATAGGCGGCTTATAACAGGCTCGGGCTACTCAACGCGCCAGGCAAGGCCACGCACGTCCGGGGTAACTCTATCGACCTAGCCTTTGCTAATATTCCCGCCGCTAACGCGCTTATAGAAGACCACCTCTTTATAGGCTCTAATAACTTTATAATTAGCATTACGTTCCCTAGCGGGGCTCTCCTACCTACGAGAATAGCTAGACTAAGGTTAAGCTCGGAGGAAAGGATAAAGGGATTCGAAGAACTTACGCGAGCTAGGGTCATAGAGCTACCCCGACCGGCAGCTAGGCCCCGGTACCTAGAGAGACTAGCCGAGGCACTGTCTCGCCTGCTTTAAGAAGCGGCTAATGCCGCGGGCCGGCGGCCTAGAAAGAACACGAGAGGCACCGCCTGGTAGAACGACGAGTGTGCCGCCGCAGCCGCAGTTTCCCACAGGGCACGGCAGGCACGTCTAGGTAGCCCGACAGGGGCTGCGCTAGGCGGTCCAGCGAGCCAAGAGACGCTTCTAGCAGAGGATCTTAGAAGGCGCCGAGAGCAATCAGGATATCTATAAGGTCATGCGGTGGTCGAGGAGGCCGAGTCCGTTCCGGGCCCCGCCTATATAAGTAGGCGGGGCGGTCTACGAAACTTAGACGGAAAAGGCGGACGTACTTCGGGCCGAGATTCTAGAGAGGCGCGTGGCCGTAGACGACATCCTAGACCCCTAGGTTCCGGAGGTACGGGCCTCGCACAGAGCCTCGACTGCAGGTTACGCTAGCCGACGCGCGCATGCCTGCACGTCCACCGGGAACACCTCCCTAGGAGTCGACGGCATTACTGTGCGGATGCTAGGTTGGGCCTAGAACTACATCGGCGAGGCAGTGAGGGAGCAATACGAGGGCTGCCTATACTAGGACTACCACCTAGCCTACTTCCGCGTTACGGGCCAGTCTATATAATTCGGAAGAGGCAGTCCGCCTAGTTACTCTAGAGATTCGTCCCGGTGCCTATTTAGAAGTCGGCTGCTAGTAGATTTAGAGAAATAGCGGATATAATCGGCGCGTAGATATAGAAGCTAGAGGTGTCCTAGCTAGGGATACATAGACTATCTAATATAAGGCAGGGTTAAAGACTTAAGCTAACTATTAGACGTTTGCCCTAAGGGGTAGCTCACGGGCTTCGGCTAAGCTAATAGCGGACCATAGCCCCGAAAGAGGAGGAATCTATATAAGTTAACCCGGCTAAAAGATACTATAAGGCGGCCAAACTTATACTACGGAAGACTTACGGGATAATTTACTAGAGCTTATATTAAGGGGTACTACCCCCTAGGGCCAAGGCTATATAAAGGCACTCACTACTCTCTTTAGGGTCGCTTAAATCATTATCTATTATTTTACTACCTTAAGTCTATTCCTACCTATATAAATTCCTATTTATTTTATAACCTAGTATAGTTCTTTATTGCCTAAATATTAATACTTCGCTTATATAAGTAAACGATAACCCTTTTTAATATATCTTTTCTATTTAAACTCCTCTACGACCTCCTTAATAAACTTAACTATAATAGTAAGTAGTTAATCGAGACCGATAAGCGCTAGAGGCACGACTCGCGCGTTGTTCTTACTTAGTTTAATAAGTATAACGGAATTATACTACGTCGAGGACCCGGTGCTATCGCATTCTTATCTTATCTCTTTCCCTACTATAGACTAGATCGAGTATTC